AACAGAGATTACTCTGCAATACCAGCACCAGCCAGTAGGGGTTACTATGTATGGAGAGAGGCAGGGATAGGAAGTTACAGCATCTCCCTCCCTGCCTCTCTGTACTCACTGATCCGTGGGGGAACAGCTACACAGCACAGAGAGTCCAGACAGCAGCTCCCAGCTTGCAGAGACAGACTACAGCTCAGGTATGTGAGGGATGGGGGAAAGGCTGCAGGGAGACACTATGGGACACTGAGACACATGGGGACACTGAGACACTATGGGACACTGGGAGACACAGACACTAGGGGACACTGTGAGATATGGGGATGCTGATATACTAGGGGACACTGGGTAAACTGGGAACACTGAGACACTTGGGGACACAGAGACCTTGGGAAACTGGAAGATTAGGGGACACTGAGTAAACTGGGAACACTGAGACACTTGGAGACACTGGAAGATCAGGTGACACTAGGGGGCACTGGGAACACTGAGACACTAGGGGACACATGGGGACACAGACACTAGGGGAAACTGGGAGACCTGGGTACACTGAGACACTATGGGACACTGGGAGACACAGACACTAGGGGACACTGTGAGATATGGGGATGCTGAGATACTAGGGGACACTGGGTAAACTGGGAACACTGAGACACTTGGGGACACAGAGATCTTGGGAAACTGGAAGATTAGGGGACACTGGGTAAACTGGGAACACTGAGACACTTGGAGACACTGGAAGATCAGGGGACACTAGGGGGCACTGGGAACACTGAGACACTAGGGGACACATGGGGACACAGACACTAGGGGAAACTGGGAGACCTGGGTACACTGAGACACTTGGGGACACTGAAAACACAGGGACACTGTAAGATCAGGGGACACTGAAACACTAGGGGATGCTGTGAGACACTAGGCACTTGGGGACACTGGGAGACATGGGGACACTGAGACACTGTGTCCCTAGCATCTGTGTCCCCATGTCTCCCAGTGTCCCCAAGTCTCTCAGTGTCCCTAGTGTCTCAGTGTCTCCCAGTGTCCCCTAGTGTCCCAATGTCTCACAGTGTTTCCATGTCTCTTAAGTGTCCCCTAGTGTCCAAGTGACACTGGGCAACATGGGGACATGAGGGGACACTGGGAGACATGGGGCACTGAGACACATGGGGCACTGAAACATTGTGATACATTGGGACACTGTGATACATAGAAGACACTGAGACATGGGGACATGAGGGGACACTGGGACACATGGGGCACTGAAACATTCATAGGGGACACAGACACTAGGGGATACTGGGAGACATGAGGACAGTGGAAGACTAGGGGACACTAAGACACTGGGAGACACTGGTAACAATCCATCTTTTATTCAGAAGAATAAATGGAAGTAGTTTTTTGGTGATTTTACAGAATTTTCTCTTAGGTCACTCCTTGTGATTTACACGCTGTAATGGACCGTTTTGCACACAAGGTTAAAAACCGTTCAGGCGATATTCCCCTTTTCAGATACACAGGCAGCTACTGCAATCACCAATCTCCCGAACTGCAAACACATGAATTCACCAATCTCCCAAACTGCAAACACAAGAAAACTCCAACTCCCGAACAGGAAACACACGAATGCTGTAAACAGCTGTACAGGAAAAACCATAAGAACAGTTTACCCTCCTGGCAGTCGCACTGTAACCGCATACAATCCAATTCCCCCCAAGAATGAGACGACACTTCGTTTGAGGGCCAAGCAGAACTGATTTACTGGGGCTACCTGCCCGGCTTTTATGCAGGTCTCCCACCTGGTGGAAACGCCCCTAGGGGACCAGATGGAAGACTGGGAAACATATTGGACATTGGCCAATCACAAGCTTACAATCCCACAATGCATCACAATCCCTCCTCTCTGTCCTGGAGATAAGTGGGCAGACAAAGACAATAAAATTACA